TAGCACGGCTCAAGGGAGTCCCAGGTTTGAAGACAAAGACAGGTTTAGGGGTTTAGGGGCCCACCGGCTTTAGGTATCCTCAAGTCTTGCAAGGTTTAGGGTTTAGGGTTTAGCGGCCATAGCGCGTGCGCTTGAGCCAAAATGGCTACGGAGGGTTTAGGGTTTAGGGTTTCAAGATTTCACTGTCCTTGAGACACGTCGTGCCTGTGGATTGGACGACCTAAACCCTATAACATCGTACCCTTATAGGTCCCTTGTAGGAACCCTTACAACCCCTAAACCCTACAGTTACAGTAGACCCTAAATCCTCCTAAGTGTCCCGCTGTTCCAAGAAGTAGGTTATTACCCTAAGGCTGAAAGTAGCCCAAAAGCCAAATATAGTATGGTCTTTAGGCCCAAAGGCCTTAAAATATGAGTCCTTAGAGCCTTAGGGTTACAGTATACCTATCATAGTATATCGTTAAACGCTTGTGTGAGGGTTAAACAACCACAGTGATGACGGGCAACTCGTACAGCGGCTTCGTCACCCTATCCCCTAAGGCAACTTCATGATACTCGTACATAAACCCTAAACCCGAAACCCTACCCTAACCCCTACACCCCTAACCCCTAAACCCCTGAACCCTAACCCTAAACCCCGGCTTCGCCGAGCAACATTCTCACCATCTTCCGGCTTAGCTCGCAGCTTCTGTTCTGGGTGGCCTCGAACCTTCAGAAAAGCGACGGGTAAGAAGGTCCTTGGGGTTTAGGGATTCGTTTTTTTGGTTTAGGAAGTTTTGGTTTTAGGGATTTGGGTTTGCGGCCTTTAGGGTTTTGGGATTTGGGTTTAGGGCTTACGAGGTTAGGAGGCTGTTGGGTTTAGAGTCGGTGGTGCGGACTTTGGGCGATGTTTCTCGAAATTAAAATTTTGCGGTACATACATAGGTGGGTAGGTGTACAAAAGGGAAGTTAGCAGGTATGCAAGAGATGTGGGCATGTGTGCGCATGCCCCTCATAGAGCGGTACGGATTGCAGCCGCAGGTAAACCTGCTCGTGCATCAGACTGCGTGAATGTCAAGTATACCATCACGTGCAATATGAGTTGACTTTGTGCCACTGCGCAACATTCTCGTCAGGCTCCTGCAGTGTTACAGCAGTTCTTTGCTCATTGATTCCAACCACCTTCGACAAACCCCTCGCGGTGTTGCTTCAGCATGCGCTTTTGCAGAGCTTCGGGGTGAGCCAACATACATTTCATGACTGCGGCACACGCCTCTGTCTAACGCGAACAAGGTCTCTGCAGAGGATGTCGTGTCGCACACTTACAGTAGATTTGCTGACTACTAGCCAGCCACCTGTACTTCTTACGTGCAAGAGGGTAATGTAGGGGCCTTCCTGATTAGAAGAGGGCTTTGGGTTTTGTTATTGGCAATTACTGAGGTCCTTATATTACATCAACAAGGTTGCTTGAGGCGTGCCCAGGAGCTCCCTGTACGTCTTGAAGGCCTCACAGGTCATGTCGTGTTTGGATGAGCATCAATCTGACATGGGCCGGCTCATAGAAGTTGACTCTGTTGAGAATTTCTGGCACTAAGTTGGAGGAGTGCGCGGAACAGTTCAACGCTGTCAGCCGTTAAGAACCTCCTTAATTCTATCCGACTTAACCCAATCGCAGAGCCACCCAAACCTATCACTGCAGAGCACTCTGAACAGCCAAAGCCCTCCCCTCCTCCACCCCAAAAGCCTGAACCCCCCAAGCCCTGAACCCTAACCCCCACCCCCCCCCCACCCCCCTAAACCCTAAACCCTAGAAGGTGCCTCGGGCCAGACCTGCATCCAGGGCTGCTGGATCAGATGCGCGAAGCCCTTGACCCTGACCGTTCTGTCGCTCGGTGTCTTGCGGCCGATTGAAAGCAAATACTTGCAGGTTCATGGGCAGTCATCAGTAGGGTTATAAGTCCCCTAATATGGGACTTATAACTATAGTTACCCTACTTATAACCCCACTTTTAACTACCCATGAACCTCCAAGTATGGGGAAGCCTACATAAAGAAGAAGCTTGAGCATGCGTCTGTGTGTGCGTGTGTGCGAAGATGTGAGACAAACAGACAGACAGACCGACCGGCCGGCCGGACCGCCTCCTAACAGACAAACAGAAAGAAAGACAGACAGGAGACTTCCTTTCCATCTCCTCATCTCTCCGAACATGCGCAGCGCATCTAACAGAATATGCAGTTTGCGCTTGATTATGTATCACATGTACATCTGTGGGGTGATGCAGAAAAGTATATCAACATAAAACCGGGGACATGAACACATACAAGCATGCGAACGACGATATTCATTCCCCACACAGCGTGGTACACACTACGAAGTTCTTACGCTAGGAGTAACGAGAACGGCTTCGTGCTCCAGCGCGGCAGTTGTAGGCCAAAACTACACAGCCTAGTCCTCCGGAAAAAGTCGAATTATTGTCATTATTGGCTCCACATGTCTGCCTCTCGCCACTAGGTAAGGGACGGATTTAGGATTGGGTTCTGCCTGTTACTCAGGGTTCGGGGATGACTCAGGTCAGGGGGTTCTTGCGGTTTGGGACGAAGGGCATCAAGATCGAGCGCAAACGCAAGGCTCGGCTTTCGTGCAACTGAAGCGAGGAGGATCCCATAAACCCTAAACTTCCCTAAACTGTTCTACAGTTGAGAGTACAAGTCGAGATGACCAGGTGAGCTAAAAACTGGGGGACCTTCATATCGACCGTCCTACTAGCATTCCTTGCACACCTGACTGCTCCTGTTCTGAACCCGGAGTGGAGCCTTCAAGTCAGGATTCTCGTGCAACCCTGTGCCCCGATCTGCCGAACCCTCCTCGCACAATGGAAGAGTAGCCCTTTCATCCCTGTAACAACCGCTATCGAAACCCTCTGCTTGCAGCCAGCAAACACATCCACGCTAGTCTGTGCCCACTCGAGCTCCTCTTGACTGCAGCCGTCCCAGCCTCGGGTGTAGGGTTTCAGCACTCACACTCGGACAAGCCTGGGCGTGGTTGTAGGCTTTTTTTTGACACTCACACTCGCATGGCATGGCTGGCCGATCTAGAATAGGGCGGGGGTGCGAACGAAGTCGGGACGAGGGGGATTTGTGGGGACTATGGGGGTGCGTAGGCACAGACTCTGGGCTTCGGGCTCAGGTTTGAAGGCCTGGGCTTGGGGTCTTCTAACCGTCAAAGGTTTAGGGTTTAGGGTTTAGTGTTTAGGGTTTAGGGAAAGGTTAGCAGCTCAGTCTAGTGGGGCGACGTCGGCGTGTGTGTGTGTGTGTCACAGGCGGATCCCTGCAGCTGTGGAGGGAGCTCAATCGGAAGCGGGAGAAGACGTCGGGCTAGGGGTTCTGAGCGGCGTGATGCAGATATCCAACTCATACGAGCAGAAAGATGCACGTGTGCATGCATGCGGGCAGAGCTGATTTCTCCGATCGCGTGCACGACACTTTCATTGCATCAGGGCTAACGTGCTGCTGCACTTCGCACCATTAGCTCATTCATAAGATATAAGCTGATTCCGGTTCTTGCATTCAGGCAGTCAGTCCTGCTCTGACATCTCAGTTTCATGAGAAGGCCGCCCCAAAACAAACCGAATGCGACCGTGTTGTGAGCCAATTTCGGCGCCTCAATAACTAGAGGATGGTTTGGGGTATATAGAAGGGGATACTATTCTTCATAGTTCCGACCTCTATAGTGGCCCCTGAACGCAGAGGCCAGTAAACTCCCAAGGCGCTAAAGCCGCATGGCCGCCCGAGCACAGCGGCGGTGAAAACGTCGCCGACGGATGACTTGGTCAGTTGATGAGTGTTTTTTGTTGCCTCGCGCCTTGCTAGGGCGAGCCTACAATGAGGGCTTCGGTTTAGGGCATGCACTTTATGGATGCTTTCTTGTGTTGAGAAGGTGAGGATAACAAGAAGTAAGCCAACAGGAGAGAATGGAGACGGTGAGGGTTTTGGGGCTTAGGGCGCATGCTTTAACTGGGAAGCCATGTCGGTGCAGAGCTGATTCAGGCGGGCTGAGGGTGCAATGAGTTTGCATCTTTGGAGCAGTTCGCAGCCTGAGTGCTCGAAGGCGACGGTATGAACTAATTCGAGGCTACGGCTTCAGAGGTTTAAAGATTCGGGATTTAAGCCTAAGTTGAAATATGTACGAATTGAAGCCGGTGGAATGGAACTGCAAGTAAAACGAAAAAGACCCGGAGTCTAAGCCTATGCCAGATCAAGGCCTGGATGCCTTCAACATCGTTTCGAAGTCGCCGGCGCCTCTCACGGTTTAGGGTTTAGGGTTGAGGGTTTCCAGAATCCATCTTGTCTAGACCCGAAGCATCCGTATACCCCTACCCGGATCTTATAAAAAGAAAGCAAAACACTCAAATAAAAGGTAGGTTCTTCAAGGTCCAGGTAAGCCCTAAGCCCGAACCCTAAACCCCAGACCAGCAACTCAGAAACTTGCGTAGTGCTTGAAGGCTAGAGGGCCTGCCATAGAGGTACACTGGCCTCATTCGATGCCTTCAGGAACTCTTTGTGGACCGTGAACCTATTTCGTGAACTTGGAGTCATGCTCAGCCCCGCTTTAGGGAGAGAGGGTCCTTGACTGAACAGGACCTGGATGTAAGAACCACGAACCCGCACCTACAGCCCTACACTTCTACACCCCAAGCTCTGAACCCCAGCACCGTCTCTCTCGCTCTCTCCCCCTCTTTCCGCGTATATATATATATATATATATATCTCTCTCTCTCTCTCTCTCTCTGTCTCCCTCTGTATTTAACTTTCTCTCTCTCCCTCTCTGTACTGAACCGCCTGAAGTCCTAGAGGCCTCGAACTCGAGACCTAAACTAATCGATATCCTCCGCATCCCAAATCCCGAAGCGCCCGGGCCTGAACCCCTGCACCCCAAAAAGAACCTCGACTACCTGATCCCTGCTGACCTACACCCCCTAAACTGACAAGCCTAAACCCTAAACCTATAGGTTTTAAAGCCTTCACCCACAGATTCTAAACCCTAAACCCTAAGGGTTTCCGGCCCCCGCGCCCTGTACACGACAAACAACACAGGAGGTCCTTCGGCCACCTTGCGCTCCGCTGCTTCGATGACTTGAGCACCTAGGGTGTAAGGGTTTTCGCGTGAATAATAAAGTTATATATATATATATCATGAAATAACGGTATGTAAGATCATCTAATATACAATAAAACTGTTGGTAACAACTGAGAGATTGAAAATCGAATACAATACAAAATAAGTAGAACATAGCATACAACTAGTGCTGGGCTGGTACTAGCAGACTAGCACAAGGACTAGTACCAGTGCTAGTGGTAGCACTAGTATTCGTACTAGCTAGTACTAGCACCAGTACCGGTACCAGTACTGATAGTAGTACTAGTACTAGTACTAGTACTAGTACTAGTACTACTACTACTACTGCTACTACTACCACCACCACCACCACCACCACGACCAAAACAAAGTACTACGACGACGACGACGACGACGACGACGACGACGACGACAGCTACGACTACGACTACTAGCACTGCTGCCGACTCCTAGTACTCCTAGTACTACTACTACTACTACTACCACCACTACTACTAGCCACCCACCCCTCTACCAACTAACCAGCGCCGAAACCCATCGTCATCATCATCGTCGGCATTGACTACAACAGCACGAGAGTCTTGTAAATACCGGGTAAAATCGATGTGCTCTTAAAAAAGTACGTCATCATGCCCCCCCCCTTTGGTAGGGGGGAAGGGGGCCTCCTATTACTACTACTACTACTACTACTACTACTGCTGCTGCTGCTGCTACTACTACTACTTCCGGTACTACGAGTATCACTACTACCGACTACTGCTTGTGATGATGGCAATACTGATGATGACATATTTGTGGTCAACACCCATAACATTGCTCCTGGTTTTTGCTTCCATGAGGTGATTCAAGCTAATATGTCCGTTCCGTTCTTCTTGTTCAAAGAGGATGCTCCGCTCTGATTCTGAGACCAAACCGGGAGCTGACAGCGCGGGCATCAACTCTGGAATACTGTATCCGCGCAAAGGAGAAACCTGCATGGCAAGACTACACTCCCTCAAGCGAAATCTCAGAGCAAGTCACTCGCGGTAGTCATGAGATCGCAGTAGCTGCTAGCAGCAGCATGATTGAACAGGTCCTGCGGGGGCTTCATCTACGTCCACGATGCAGACTCGGGATGTCCCTCTTGGTCGAGCTCTACACGCCTCAAAGCAAAGCCTACCGGAGTAGATCTGTCAGGGCCGTAGATGGGTGCCGAGTTCGATCCCCTTAACATCATCTAAGCGAAGTTCCCCAAAACAGGAGGGAAGATGATCACCTATTGTAATTTAACTTCAGCTCTTAACAAGAACCCACTACAGTACAAGCCAAAGAGCCAAATACACCCCTGTGTACTGCTCCGTTGAACGGAGTTCCTCAGCTAAGTTCCTTAACAAGATTCCAGATTCCAGAACCTCGCAACCCACGCAACCCGAAATATGACAGCTCTTAAGTATAGCTCCTTGCGAAGATTCCAAACCCTGAAGCCTACGCCTTGAACCCTCAAACCCTGAACCCTAAACCCTATTACTAAACCCTGAACCCGAAACCCTAAACCCTGAATCCTGAACCCTAAACCCTAGAGGTGTCCTTCTGCAGGTCATGTCGGCCTTTCTGCCAGACTTCCCCGGACTCTGTCATCAAAGTACCTTCCTTCGGAAGGGAGGAGACATCCGAAACTTGGGATGTGAAATTACGGAGAGTTTAGGATCCTAAACGTAGGGCATAACAACAAAAAGCAGAAAAACGTTGTCAGGACTGACAGAGTGAAGAACATCGCGATGAAAGCTCAGCAACAATGCCACTCCTTTCAGCAACAAAACCTAAAACCTAAACCCCTAAACCCTTGTTTGCACTGGGCTTGGGGACTAGCCAGATCCTTGTAAACCCTAAGCCCCAATCCAACCTGGACCAGTCCTACCACCAGCAAAGCCTTGAACTTAGTGCCCAACACCCACAAGCCTGAACACGACATCACACTGTTGCGATTACGCACAGTAATTAGGCTGTAAACGGAAAGACGCCCTATGGCGTCTAGCATGTTGCCGGAAACCTTCCGGAACCTGAACCCTCCGCAATTGCGGGGACTTTGCGACTCACTGCGTTCGTTTGTTACCAATGTAATGCTTCCTGCCAGTGAAACCCAAAACCTCTCTGGAGAGTTGACCCTTTGCCGCTGACATACTTGAAGCCCTAAACCCTAAACCCTAAGGGCCCAGGGTTGAGGGTTCAGCTTTTGACCGTGAGAAGGACCCCACGGCCCTACCACGACGGCTTCACAAGTTCCTTTGGGGGGCTTGCCTTACTTCCTTCACGATGGACGGCCTTAGGTGCGTTCCCTAACCTAACCTGATGTAAGTTGGTTGAGGGCTGTTGAATTTCCTTGTAGAAAATTGTTTTGCCACATAGAGGAAGACCCCTGTTTTAACTGCCTCCTACATCAGACGAAACCCTCCTAGACCAACAGGGTTCAGTGTGTAGGGTTTAAGGTTTGGGTTTAACTTCCTGATCCGATTCGAACCTTCTGCCCGAAGACTAGTGACTAGAGCAAGGGTCGTTGGGAATAGAGACATGCTTCATGTCTTACAAGGTGCCAAGTTGCTATGTTTGTATAAGTTCATGCGTTTTCTATTGTTTATCACCTTCCAAGAGCTTCATAGGAGATCATGTCTCACTCAACTAGATATGCAAGCAGCGGTAGCAAACATGAAAACACGCGAGAATGCTTATAGCCACAAGTAGGATTGTGTTGATCGGGATCCTACTATCAATGCCTATAAAGTCCTCGATTTTCTGTCAAGAGGCATTGTAGTAGGGGACATGCAGCAAAATTGCCTCTGGGTCTACTTTCATCCCTGTAATCTGCTTGGCTTCCACTTCGAGCCTCAAAAGTCATGTGCCTAGGTCAAAGCCTGAGCTCGAAACCCAAAGCTCTCAACCCTAACCCAAAGCATGCACACGTTGAGCCCCAACATCCACTAGCACCAACACGGAACCCAAATTTGAGGGGGTGGCTCCTTGTACACTACCCAGCACCCAACCTCAGGTCAAAAGGAGCTGCTGCATGTCCGTTTCGGGCATGGCAAGAAACTACGTTTCAAAGATCTCAAACACTATTTATGACACCCCAAACCCTCAACCCGACTCAGGTCCACAGCCGCATCGTCTAGAATCTCACCCGAATTGTCACCCAAACCCTGCCACCAGAACCTCGCGACGAGAAAACGGTATGTACATCCTACAACCTAAACCCTAAACGAGCTTCCTGGTTGTGCTTCTTCTTCCAATAGTGCATGGCCCACAAGTCATTGGTGGGACCCTTCGGGTATTTGCCTCTCCAGGGAGTATTTCTACCCGCGGGTTTCGGGTTTAGGGTTTAACGGTTTACGAATGGCTGAGGGTTGAGGGTTTTTCGGAGCTCACACTTTGGCACTAAAGGCAAGTCATGTGTCAAGCCATCTCATCGGTGGTGATACATACGATCGAGCTCCAGACTACACCGCTTGTATACGGCTTGAGGGTTGCGGTGCTTGTAGCATACCTCCGTCTCTAAAGTATAAAGCCAGCAGCTATGGGAGCGCACGAAGAAAGCGCGTTTCGTTTACCCTTGCCTGTCACTATTGCGGCCTGAGGGGTGTGTCAGGTCGTCGGGTGGTTCAGACCGTGGGACCCACGTGAGAAGCTTCGAGTCTTGGGTGTGATGTAAATGGCAAGGAACCTATAGCTGCCATCATCACCATCACTGTCATCATCATCGTCATTGCTATCATCATCGTCATCATCATCATCATCAAAATCATCATCATCGTCCTCATCAATCATGTTCCATTACCAGTTGCATCGTGATCGGCATAGCCATCTGCTTGCTCTTCCTGGAAGGTCGAGTTCGGGCCTGCTTAGAGGAAAACCATCAAGCTGACGCGCAACCTGAAATGCTTCCACAGCTGTCGAAATGCTTTTTTGCAGCTGGCTTGCAACGCACGCCAGAAATCCTAAACCCTAAAACCCTAAACTCCAAACTCCTGTCCTTCGGCAAAAACAGCGCTCGGGGACTTTTCAGGTGTTGGGGTTTCGGTAGCCACCCTGTTGAGGGCCGCGGAGGTTCTGGGATGATGGTCGCACTCCAAGGTGGAGACCGAATCTGCTCCTGGATGGTGCGACCGATGGCACAGGACCAACATCAGGCCAAAACAGAAATAGCTGCAATACATAATTTTAAAAACCTATCTGACATACTGAAGGTTTCCGAACTCCGCCACGAGCTCTAAACCGCGAACCTTACACCCGAGAGGGAGCCTTCATGCAGGAAGACTTTACGAGCTTCGCGTGGGTCGAAGATGAGGACCTCGTCCCCCAAAGTTCTCAGGATTTACGGTTCTTGCCAGGGTTTATTGGAGTTTAGGCTTCACGGTGTTGTTTACCGTTTGGGGTTCAGAACTTTGGCGCTTGGTGTCTTCGGCCCGTTATCCATAAACCCTAAACCTGAATCTGCAAACTGTGGGAAACTTATTTACGCAGGCTAATTCGTGATTTGCACACTTAAAATTCTAAGGCTTAGGACTCTCGACTGCTTGCGTAAACCCTAAACTTCCCTGAGTGGACCCAGTCTCGTTGCCAAGAGGTTGCCTTCAGACAGATAAGACGCTCTAGTGACACCCTAAACGCTCAAACTCTACAAAGTAAAGCCTGGAAGGAGTACCCTATACCATCACAGGGTCGATAAGCCCGACACTGTAACCATGTGAACAGAACTAACTCCTAAACCCTAAACCAAACTATACTTTAACCATCCACCGGAGATCCGGAACACATCCGAAAGGAGGCCCTTGGCCAAAGCCTACGCTAAACCCAGCCAAACCCTACAACCCTGAAGCCCTAAACCCTAGCCCTTAACCTCCTAAACCCCTCCCTCTCTCTCACTCTCTCTCGCGGACTCAGAAGCCCTAATTAAACCTTAAAACCCCTAAACACTAAACCCGCAAACCCTAAATGCCTTAAGGTCGAGACCGCTTCGATAGGGAGGGGTGGGGGGGGTTGTTGTTCGTGGATTTGGGGAACAACAAACCCCCCCACCCCGTGGGCGGAGGCGCGGGGAGAAGGGGGG